ACTGAGTGATTATGCAACCCCAGGCTTTTCGAATCAGTCAAAACCATCTGCCCACCACAGTCGACCGTCAAAAGGATACCTTACCCACATTCAGAGCATCCCACAGGAAATGCGTCCCCGTCAAGGGAGGTGAAATACATGTCACCAAATTTCATGCAGCAGTACTGCCCCTCATTCTTGGTGATTCAGGTCATTGGGGAGCCAGAACCACTCTCAAGACATCAGAGAATAACACAGTGTGGTCCGAGTCCTCTGCAATTGAGTACATTGTCCTCAACTATGAAAGCTCCGACATTAGGAGAGAGAGTGAGAGTCAAACGGGAAAGTTGTGACATGTCTTTAGGTGCAATTAACACCAGGAACAGCACCTGAATATTCCTTCAAAGTTCTTCTTCCTCAGGAGACTATTAGGTCGAAAACACAGTCCCAATGTTTCTGTACAGAAATCAATCCTAAGGATACTGACAGTCATGGGACAAGGCCACAATGAACCCGTCCATCACAACAACGATGCATGGGGTTGCAAGCAGCTTTGCCACACCGTCTGTGTCCATGAAATGTGATCAAGGGCCCTCCTGTACGCAAGCTAATTCTTCAGTTCCCAGAGATCGAGGCATCCTTGCAAGACAGCATGGTTCCAAAATCCGGTCAGCCTGAAAGGAACCGGTCTGGAAACCAAAGACATAGTAATGTCTTGATCCAAGTCTTCCCATCTTCCTACTCTCTGCCGGTGGCAGTAATGATTCATGACGTCAACAACTGCGCAGAGAAGAGAGAAGATAGTGTTCGTTCATGCCTGATAGCCCACAAGTACCTATGATAATTCAGGTCCTGACCAGCATACGCTATCACAGAATTTGTTTTCCTATTCCTGAGCGTGGCATGATCCACACATAAATGCATACTTCTTTCATTCCACAGGTTACTCAGCCTAGGCCACTCGAAGCACCAGCCCTCATCCCATGACCCCAATACCTGCTCCTCTACCCCGCATATTCTCCTGCCATCTACACTGTCAATGATGCTATCTCGATCCCTACTTTTTCTAAGTCAAATGTTCTCAATCCTAGCACAGAGAAGTGAACAGTGGAGAGGTTTTAAATAACGATTTGGATCATTTATCTCCTCCCAGACCTGTTGGCTTTGCCCAACCAAGTTTTCCTCTTCTTCCTGATATGCCACCAATGGCACCAGACCAAACTCTATTTCCAATTTTTTTTAATATGACATCTTGTTCCAGCAATAGTACAGTCTTCCTATGGTTCAAGCAATGTCACTTTGGCATTCAATAGAACTCTCTTCCTCTGACTCTTCTAGCAGTGCCTCAAAGCAGACTGCCAAAACTAAGCCATTTTTGGGTCATGATTGTAGTTCAGCTGTGTTAAATACAATAAAACTAAAGGTTAAGTAACGGGTAAGAATTCACAAATGTATTTGTGTGTTCGTGCACACATACATGTACATGGAGGAGACGGGTTGTGTGTGTGTGTCTTCATGTTTTATATTATTTTACTTGTTACCCTCTGAATGTAGGGAAGCTGTGTCAAGATTGAAGCAAACATGGGAATGTCAGAAATACGTTTATCTCATTTTCAACTACATGGCATGCTTTTTATTTTCAGCACATTGCATTCCAAGTTTGAATTGTGTAATTCTTTGTGTTCCCTAAATACTATCACCTGGAAGTTGGAAGATCATCTGGGCATGTGCTGGGTAATAGAAGGAGTTAGTTTAAACTTAATTGTTGATAATTATAGAAAACAGATATTGAAGTAGTTGAGTGGCTATCTAAAATACAGGCACTTGATAAAACACAGTGTCATAACAAAATGCTGGCATCAACATCTTACCGATGGCAGATTGAATTGATGTTGATTGAAAGTCTGTAATTAAAATCAAGCAGTCTAACAGATAAATGAATGTTTAGTGGCCTTTATTCAACGGTTTGGTTTAGGTAGAAGCTTCTCCAATTATAACAAACATAAAATTATCTGAATTCCATTCTTATTCATTAATTCTTTTAATGTGCCAAAGATCCTTAAAGCAAAGGTACTTCCTTAGACAATTAGCCTTAAAAGAGAAAGCTAAAAGTACATAGATGTTCTCCATTTGTATTGCATTTGCATCAGGGCCATAAGGACTGGGTGAAGCAGTTAGATTGTGGAGTTTTGCATGAGTTCAGTTAGCGATGTTTTCATCGATTGGATTTTGATTTAATATTCTCTCTTCATTCTTTTTTTGATCTTCAAATGAATTCTTCTGCATATTTAAATTTGAGGATCGATCAGATGTGTGTTTGGATCTACATATTGGCCTTACTTTTAAAATATTTCTGAACAGATTTAAGCTCGTCACTATTTATTTACTGATGGTATTTATATTTTTAAATACAGCATGTATATTCATTGATTCGTTACCACCAATTATAATGAGAAGATGAAATGTTTTCGTTATTTTTCTTTTTGGTAGATGTGAATGTGCTTCAGAAAAATATCTTATAATGGTCGTGTGTGTGTGTGTGTGTGTGTGTGTGTTTGTGTGACAGACAGATTTTTAGAGGTATAAACTCGCCCTTAAGATAGTGCTAGTCATCTGACAATGGAAATTGACACCTGAGACCTGATAATCAGTATAGAGCAACTTCATGTAGGGGAGTTTTTAAAATCCCACTGATGTTTAAAATTAAATTTAAAAATGCATAAATTTCAATTTTGATACTTTAAAAACTAATACTACACTATTTTCTTAAATCCATTAAGCCATTACTTTTATGTTATATTCTGCCAAAGAAACCCAGGATGGGTGGAGAGATTAATATAATTGTTCTGTACTGCTCTATTAACAAAGTGAGCATAAGGACCAGCTTTTTTTTTTTTCTTATTCTAAAAAAGCCTCCTAAGGCCTGGTCAGAGCAGTTACTCCAGTGAATACCTTTCTAAGACTCAGCAAAAGGGTAGTTGTGCCTCTTTAACTTGTTCTTACAAACTTTCCTATCTTTTTCTGCTGCTAACTAAGCAGCTTCTTGGAGCAAAAAAAAAAAAATTGATACAAGAAACCTTGTATTTTCTTCTTCAAAATGGTCTTGGGAAGAATAGGAGAGCTTCATGATAGTACTTAAAAAAGACCAACGAAACACAGTAGTCAAAACTTTTTAGTTGAGAAAAAAGTAACATTATGACTTGCTTTTTCATTCTCTTAATGAATTTTAAGCTTTAATGTTCAGTTCTCTTTGTATTTGAAGTTAATCTCACCAATTTCAAGAGGGGCAGTTTTCTGTGTGTTTGACATTCATCTTCCTCCTCTTTGTCCACTCCCTCCCTCTCTCTCTTACCTCTCCTCCCCATGCACGCCCCACCCCACAGCTGTGAGTTCGGAGGACTGAGGACTTTTAGGTATAATTGGAATAAGGTAAACAGGCTAAAGAGAAAAGGTCAATTTGAACATTGCAATGCAGAAGCTCAAGCCTGTACTTGCAGTATTTCTGTTGCATTTGACTATATGTTCCTGCTCAGCTTACGTTTCAGAGATAGTTAGCATTTCTCAGAGCTTTCTCATCATATAACATTCTTTGATCTTGATTGAGTCTCAGAGTTATTTGATCATCTGAAGAAAGATGTGACCACCTGCAAAATAACTGGGTCCCTGCTTATTGTAGCTCTATTATTTTACACAGGTGCATGTATATGTAAGAGTTCATTCATCATATGGGCTCAATTCTGAAGTGTTCTTGACTGTAGACTTATTTGATTTAAGCATTGAGTATATGAGGTACTTAGCGTATTAAGCTTGATAATTAGAGCTACATAATTTCTGGGGAGGAAATTTTTATATAAATATCTAGTGGATATTCTAGATATAATTTGGTAAAGAATGGCAGAAACAGTCCCCCCAGTTTTGGTTATAATGAATGTGAATGTTATCCTTGGCTTATAATATCATGACTGAGAAAGTAAACAGTTCCACAAATAATTTGTAATTCTGAATACACAAGTTATGTCATCACAAGTGAGAATCGTGATTGAATCATCTTTTTTTTTTAGCATTATTGATCACAGTAATCAGTTATAGAGATTAGTTGATTCTTTCTTCAACATCTTAATGGTAACTTCTAAATGAAGTTGAAAAATTCAGATCTCATGCATCAGCTTTTTTTTTTCTTTTGAGACAGGGTCTTACTCGTCCCTAGGCACTCAGCTAGAGTGCAGTGGTCATGATAGCTCACTGCAACCTCAAAAAAAAAAAAAAAAACCCCTGGCTCACTCAATCTCTACCTCAGGGCAGCTACAGCATGCACACCAGGTTTAATTTCAGTTTTGTAGAGACGGGGTCAATGCAGACTGGTTCGAACTCTTGGCCACGCATCCCCCACCTTGCATCCCAAAGTGCTAAGTACCGGCATGGAGCACCAAACGGGCTATGTATAAAGTTAATGAGTCGGTCATAGATAAAAGGGATCGTTGATGTCTTTCTTTTGTGTGTGGAAATCAACAAGTTGCTTGAGATTGGCTTATAGATTTATACCACTTCATAAATTTTGTATGTTTTTATTTGTAAGACCTCTTGGGATACCAGAGGACGCACCTTTTTTTCTAAGTAACTGGGAAGTTCACAGTGATCATGTGTTTCATAAAATTTACTATCAGAACTGTTGAAAGAAAGGGAGGATTTCTTGTAGCAATTTTCTAGGCACATATCAGGATTATGTTGAACTGCAACAAAAGATCAAGGCTTTAAAATTAACCGTTCATCAAAATACAAAATTATTAAGTATTTAAAGATAATTCATTTGCCTTTTTGCCTTTTACGATTAGTATTGCATTCTAGGCAGTAGGATCGCTGAGCCCCAGAGATTGAGGTTGCTGTGAGCCAGGCTGACGCCACGGCGCTCACTCTAGCCTGGGCAACAAAGTGAGACTCTGTCTCAAAAAAAAAAAATATAAAGTGATGAGGATGCTTTCCTATTATTTCTGTGTCACCTTTATCTATACTTTTTGTTTCAGAAAGAAAAACCGGGAGACACACAATGCAGGTAAAAACAACAATTTAAATTTTACTTGTTAGTATTTTTTAAATTCAAAATGAAATGATACTGCAGTTGATTATAGGTTTTTATGTTATAAGTATAGAATCATTATTCATTATGCTTTAGGAAAATGTTCTTTTATTGTTTTTGAAAAAATGCTCCCTGAGTCTCTTGAAGATGGCTTGCTTGCTTTTCAACTTCTGATTCGTAGCCTATTTAGATAATTTAAGAGATTTATATATTTCTGGAGCTAGTGTTTTAAGTGATTTCACCCATCAAATCCAGATATATTTTTCCTAAATAGAATGAAGGACGTATGTGTCTTTGCAGAAATCTAGAGGGGGCTGGCTGCATTAAGGTGTAGATAAAGATGAACAGCAGGCTATAGGTCTTAAGATGTGGAATTCTTGATTATAGGAAGAAATGTAGGAAATAAATATTTGATTTTATCTCTAATATTGAAATTATAGGCCAAAGCCAAATAAACATATATAGAAATAATATTGTATACATTTGAAATTTGACACATTGTTTAACATTTCATTTTCCATCCAGAAGTGCATTTGGATATAAAAAAATTATTTTATACATTAATTTCTATTACTGTATAAATGATATCTTCCTTTTTCTAAGGAAAGGGCACTTGGGAAAATTTTATCTATAGAAAGATGTGTTGAATGCTGGTGGGATATTGATGTTTCCCAGAATGAGGAGCTTATTGCCTTTGAAAACCCATTTATTGCTAGGGTTAAAGAGCTGATTTTTTAAAAAATCTCCACACATTAAAAAATCTGCTCTTAGATAACACATACTGCATGTACTGTTGTTAGAGAATTCAGAGGAAAGGTAAGCCAAAGTTTATTGCTTTGCTTTTCTTGGCTGTACGAATTAAATCTAATCTTTTTTGGCCATATGAGCTAAATCTTTTTGATTAGAATCACCTGTCACATGGTGCCATAGATATGTCCTTACCATAACTTACTAAGAGAGAATAATTGGATGTCATAAAAATGGTTGCCCTTACTGCTAGATCATAAAGTATATATTTTGCAAAACAAGTTCTACTCATGCTCTAATCTGAGATCATCTTCTTAGAAGCACTGTAATCCTTTGTTAAAAAAGAAGGTTTTAGAAAACTTTCTAACAGAAAATAAACAAGACTGACATTTCTACTTACAGCATTTTATAGAAATTATTTGTGTAATCTTTTGTATTCTTTTGCCCCTTTTAAAGTTGTGGCACATAAGGCTGGAACATTTTGCAGTTGATTGAGAAGTTGTCAGTTGCCCAGTTTCTTAGATGGGAAAGATCCTGTGGGGCCAAAGTGGAGATGTCCCATAGAGTAAACCAAACCAATGCCTTTCTTGTCTATTTCAAGTCATAACCAATAGCTGTTTATATTCTAAAAAGACCCTCTGGTCATCTTAAAAGTGTTTCAATTCTTTAACCTGTCTAGGAAGGTCTCAGTTGTACATTTGCCATAAAGAGGCAGCTTTTTAATAGCTTGTTAGTGAATTCTTTAAATCTGGTTGTCAGGCCAGGCACTGTGGCTCATGGCTGTAATCCTAGCACTCTGGGAGGCCAACAAGAGGATCCCTCAAGCTCAGGAGTTCAAGACCAGCCTTCTATATGGCTGTTTTTAATTCTTCCCACATTACCAACAACACCACATATCTACTAAAAATAGAAAAATTAGCCAGGTGTTGTGGTGTGTACTTGTAGTCCCAGCTACTTGGGAGTCTGAGGCAGGAGAATCACTTGAGTCCAGGAGTTTGAGGTTGCAGTGAGCTATGACTACATCACTACAACCTAGTTGGGCAACAGAGTGAGACTCTGTCTCAAAATAAATAAATAAATAAATCTAGTTGTCATTAAAATTGTTAGTAATTATGTAAACTAAACTATAATGGAATAATGGTCTAATAGTAGTACAATATTAGCAATTCCTATTTATTTATAATTTGAATTTAATTATCAGTGATATTGTTTAAAATGCTAATAAAAGTATTGCTTATATCAGTTTGTATAACACTGGACTTAAAATATGACATTTTTAGAAATCTTATTTACTTATTACATTATTTGTCTTTAGGAGATAATGTTTGATAAGCATTTTTTAGGGATTTCTTTTCTTTTTCTTTTTTTTGAAACAGAGTCTCACTTTGTTGTCAGGACTAGAGTGAGTGCCGTGCCGTCAGCCTAGCTCACAGCAACCTCAAACTCCTGGGCTCAAGTGATCCTCCTGCCTCAGCCTCCTGAGTAGCTGGGACTACAGGTGCGAGCCACCACACCCAGCTAATTTTTTGTTTCTATTTTTAGTTGACTGGCTAATTTTTCCTATTTTTAGTAGAGACTGGTTCTCTCTGTTGCTCAGGCTGGTCTTGAATTGCTGACCTCAAGCTATCCTCCCGCCTTAGCCTCTTAGAGTGCTAGGATTACAGGCGTGAGCCACCACACGTGACTGGGATTTCTTTACCTAAATGTTTTTTACCCAAGGAGAATGGGGCACTTTGGCAGAGTAGTGTAAGTTTTGATAAATGAATTTTTCCTCCTATCTAGTGGAGAGGCATAGAAAGAAGAAAATCAATGCTGGGATAAACAGAATAGGAGAGCTGATCCCGTGTTCTCCTGCCCTAAAGCAGGTAAGAAGTCCACTCATATTTCATTCGTCACTTGTGAATAGGCAAATCCCTAAGTTGTTTTGATGTTTAGAATGATTATTTCTGTTCCTTGCCATTTATGGTTTTTTTTTTTTTTTTTTAAATTGCAACACCCAGCTAACATATTTATGGTTTTTTGAAGTTACTAATTGCCTCGTTTTTCATTTGCTTCATTTTCTATATAGCTGTTTTTAAATCTTCCCAACAATCTCTAGAATTTTAATTCTTTCCAACAATCTCTAGAATAGTTTCTACATGGTCAAATGTACCATACAATTTCTCGACTCTTAAATTGAGTTTTCTCTTCCATTACTAAATTAATCCCAGGATTATGTTTATATATGTGCCACTCTATTTACCAAGCATTTCTTTTGTTTTTCTGCCAATGCATGTTCTTTATTCTCTTTAAATTCTTAACTAGACTTTTCCAAGGATATCTTCTTTAATTTATTCTCCATACCCTGTCAACTTCAACTAGTACTTGAAATCTCATCTTCAAGTGTGACAGTTTTCTGTAATGAAGATACCTTTTAATTTTTTCCAATAAAATTTTTTTTCCAATAATGAGGATAAAGGATGCTCACCGAAAACAACAAAAAATTGAAGCAATGTGGAAGCATAAAAAAGTTTAAAAAATAAATTTTTTAGTTATTTATAATTCCCAAGTTATAACCACTATTACAGTGTTGTTACACATCTCTTCAGATACTGCTTTATGAATCTTTGTGTATATATATCCAGTGCTGTTTTATAACCTGCTTTGTCACTTTCACTCTGGTACACAGTGGACATTTGGTTGTAGATTCCTGTCCTGATATAAGCTCCTTTCATTTTAATGGTTATATAATATTCTAGTATAATGGGATATCATAATTTGTAATAGTCTTTTTTGTTAATTTTTAATTAATATATGCAAAAATTAATACCACACATAGCAAATAGCACTAAAAAGCTTAAGACAACATTACTCTCCTACCTGCTTCCCAACCCAAACACAGTTCCCTAAAGGCAACTATTCTCAACCGTGTCTTCTAGTTTTTACTGTTACATTTCTAAATAACATACTTATGTTGCTGTATCTTCATTTTTCCATTTTCATTGATCATAGCTCACTGAACTCCTGGGCTCAAGTGATCTACTGCAGCCTCCTGAGTAGCTAGGAGTATAGATATGCACTATCACAACTGGCTAATTTTTATTCTTTTAAAAAAATTTTTGGTAAAGATGGGGTCTTGCTATGTTGCTCAGGCTGGTCTCAAACTCCTGGCCTCAAGTGATTTTCCTACCCTGGCCTCCCAAAGTGCTGGATTATAGGCATGAGCACGTGCTGGATTAAGTGCACGATTATAGGCACGGCTGGCCAATTTTACCATTTTAGATATTATCTATCAACTTCCTTTTATGCTTTTCCCCCAGCTTCCCCTTCTCTGATCCTCCCAATATAATTCCATCACAACTTTTGGTTAAAATTGGTATTCGGTTTTTATGTTATTAAGACTGTGTAAATATTGTCCATTTGTAACTTTTGGGTTTTTGGGGTAAATAATTGCCTCATAGTTTTTCATTTGCATAATTTTCCATATACTTATCTTTAATTCTTCCCACATTTTCAACATTCTCTTAGTACAGTTTTCTATGTGGTTAAATGTACCACATAATTTCCATTTTCCCTTTTTTTCCTCTGAGACTTTACTTCTGAAACCCTCTGTCTTCCTTTTCAATCTCAACTGGTTGGTCTCTTCCAACTCTTCTGTTTTTAATTTCAGCTCTCATAGTTTTAGTTTCCAAGAGTCATTTTTCTTATTATCTGTTTGTGACTTTTCATACCATATGTTTGTAGATATAATCTTCTCATCTCTGAATGTTACTTAGGTTTTTTCCTGAAGTTTTCTTCAATTTTCTGGGTTTGTTTCCTTTGATTTCCCTTTTTCCTCTTTTGTTTTGATATTTTGTCTTTCTTTTTGGAGGATTTCCTTAAATATTTAGTGACATGTAGCTGTTTTTTCATACTTGAGAATGAGGCATTAAAAAGCTGATTGAATAGCCTTGTCTTTGGTGGCCCTAAATGTTATATGATTAGATAGTGCTCTAGTTTTGTTGTGGAACTGAAAAATATTAGTATTTGTAGTTTTTTTCTTTTGTAGGACAAATATTAAATTTTTTTTTCCCACAGAGAGGAATGAATCCATCCCCTACCTGGGAGTGGGAATGTGGGAAGAGGAATATAAGCCTGATTGACGTTATTCTGGGGGCTGGGTGGGGGTGGGGCCAGACAGTCTCATGCTTTAGTAGGCAAAGTTTTACTCGACTCCCTGTTTTCACTTAGGGGCCTCATCTTGTCCACTTTTATGCCAAGTTTTCCTGAAATTGAAAGTCTCTGGTTCAAATTTCATAGAAAATGAACGTGTCTCCTGCAGTTGGGACAGGAAAGGACAGTCATCCAGCTGCATAGGACTTGTGTATGTGCTGGGGAGTGGTTCTTTATACTGTTTTATTAAGAGTCTTTCTACCAGTCCCCTCAATTTTCTCACCATCTCTGCTGTAGTAGCTGGTGCTTCTCAGTGTCGAAGCTGCCTAGGCTTTGAAAGAGCCACCTCATCATGCTTCTCAGCATCATCTCCCTTGGAAGGGACTTATACTTCAGTTTCTTTTCATCCTTCCCTACAGAGTGGACTCAGACTTACATAAATGTGTTTTTCAGTCTTTTAAAGATGTACTTTCTGTTTCTTTAACACAGTGGCACACTATGTCTTCTGATTTTTTTTCCCCCACATCTCAATGTGTTATGGTAGCTGCTCAGTAAAATCTCATTTTCCTGCTCTTGGCTTTTGTTCCTCCAAGTTTCTCTGAAGAAAGACAACCCTAACATTTCACTTCCTTGATGTCCTAGAATGTGTAAGGGAAATCAGTATGTGGCTCCCAAGCAGCCTAAGATTCTCTTCCTATTTGTCTGTGCTCTGCCCCACCTCCAGTAGAGGGGCAGGTGGCTGGGCCTTATCAGCTTCTGCCTTTGTTTAGATTCTTATTTTAGCAAAGGACAGTATTTTTTTTTTCTCTTAAAGAGTTTCTTGGGTTTATGTATTGGGTCTTTGTTGAGACTCAGTGAGTGTAAGGAACCCAGAACTATAACTTGCCACACAAGGGACTAAATCACAGTGAGTCCTACATGAAAAGAACTATCTGTAAAATACTAGAGATATTTAATAATCAAGATAGTGGAGTAGAAATTAAATAGTCACTGCAACATTTAATAGCTGGAGAATAAAAACCAGAAATGACTATGAGGTGGCTTTAATATTTATCAGTAATAGATTGGTAAATAGAATAAATACAGTCATTAGAAAAAATAAGATAGATTTCTAAGGTCTGTATGGAAGTATTTCCAAGATACATTTTTAACTTTAAAAAATGCAATATATTGTTTATAATGTCCTTCTATCTGTTTTTATAGCAAAGGTGTATACGGGCATATATTTTCATAAGGCATTTCTGGAAGGATAAACAAGTAACTCAAGTCTGGAGAGCTAAAGCAAAGAAGAATAGTACTTTTTGGTACATATCCCTTCATATAATTTACATTTTTGCCATATGCATATTGTTTTCAATTTTAAAAATTACTGATTAGAACAATCATAAAATAGAATCTTTTGGAAAAAGCATAGGAATAGAATATACTGGGAGCATGACACCAAAACTTAAGTAACATTTCTTTCTTGACTTATTATTTAGAATAATTTTTAGTTGTGGTTAACAAAATAGAGAATAACATTAAAATCCAAAATCTTTACATCGTCTTAAAGGCCATCTCTGGCTTCTTCTACCAGTCTTCCCCTATATACTTTGATTTAGACCCACTCACCTCCTTATTGTTCCTCAAACATGCCAGTCCCTGCCTGAGGGCCTTTGCTCTTCTGATCTTGGTACTGGAACCTCTTTCTTCAGATATCCACAGGGCATGCTTCCTTTTGTTTCCTTTGAGTTTTTGCTTAAGGGCCTTCCTCATCTTCCATATAAAAAACATTGTAGCAGAGTGTCTAAGTTCAGGCTGCTATAACAGAAATACCATAGACTGGGTGACTTACACAACAGAAATTTATTTCTCACAGTTCTGGAGGCTGGGACGTCCAAGATCAAGGCACCGGCCGTCAGATCCTAGTGAGGGCCTGCTTCCTGGTTATGTCCTCACATGGTGGAGAGAGAGATCATCCCTCTCTGTCTCTTCTTATAAGGGCACAAATCCAGTCATGAGCGCTCCACTGTCATGACCTAATTACCTCCTAAAGGCTCTACCTCCAAATACTATCATATTGGGGATAAATGTTTCAACTTACGAATTTTAGGGGTACACAAACATTCAGTCCATTGTACAGAGTAACCTCCACCATTATTCTAGCCTCCTCTTTACACTGCTTTATTTTTCTCTTCATTCACATGTGTGTGTAATCTTACCACCACCTGATTAGTGTGTGTGTGTGTTGTTCCTCAAGGGCAGAGACTTTGTCTGTTTTACTAATATATCCCCAGCGCCTAGAGCAGAGCCTGACACATAGTAAATGCCCAATAAATATTTAATAAATGAAAAATGAATAGTAGAAGCTTTTGAATATGGTGCCTGCGTTAAATTTTGAAGAGATACATAACATATATATGATGCAAACAAAGCTTTAAGTTTCTTCTGGCAAGTTCTTACCCTTCAGTGAAACTTTTAAATGGTTAATTTTTTTTTCTTGGCAGAGCAAGAATATGATCCTGGACCAAGCCTTTAAATATATAACAGAATTGAAAAGGCAAAATGATGAACTCCTGCTTAATGGAGGCAATAATGAACAAGGTAAAGACTTGAAGATTCTCACTTTTTGTTGTTTTTTTTCAATGTTTAGGCCTTTGTGTCACAGTGAAACTTATGTTAGGATATAGAAGGCCTTTTTACCCCAAAACATTATGAAGACCCTGCATTCAATTGGTCCAGAAGAATAGTGTTGCAAATACATTCATTTTAGTTTAACTTTTTTCCTTCCTCTGTGAGCAACTCTAATCTTGTAGGCATACATAATTTTGATTTTGGACTCTTCTGGGGAATCATATTTGCCTAACTCATGATACTATTAGTAATACTAAATCTCCTTTATTTCAGTCTTACCCTGCAGCTAGGGGGAGTTCTATTCAGTGTAACTTAAAAAAAAAGATTAGTATATACCCATGCCAAGACAACTATGCATTAACTAAAAAGGCTGAAACATTCAGTTCGTAATTGTTTATACTGTGTGTAATGTGTGCATCAGACTGCCTGATCATTTAATGATATTTGACTTTTATCTTTTTTTATTTTTATTTTTTTTGAGACAGAGTCTCGCTTTGTTGCTCAGGCTAGAGTGAGTGCCATGGCATCAGCCTAGCTCACAGCAACCTCAATCTCCTGGGCTCAAGCAATCCTGCTGCCTCAGCCTCTCCCCAGTAGCTGGGATTACAGACATGCACCACCATGCCTGGCTAATTTTTTTCTATATATATTAGTTGGCCAATTAATTTCTTTCTATTTTTAGTAGAGACGGGGTCTCACTCTTGCTCAGGCTTGTTTCAAACTCCTAACCTCGAGCAGTCCGCCCACCTCGCCTCCCAGAGTGCTAGGAATACAGGCGTGAGTACCGTGCCCGGCCGATATTTGACTTTTAGATGGAGGTGACTTTTTTAATGCTGTCCAGTGAATTCTGTTTTTCTACCAGTTTTGGAGAGATTTCCTTATAGCAGCTGAAAAGAAAAACATCCCAGGCAAGTGTAGAGCCAGGGTAGTAGGCCAGTTTAATGTCTTTTATTTATGCTTTGACAAGAGCACAGAGAAAATTTCCTGTGACAGCTCAGCAGGCCACTGAAAAGAGGGGAAAAAAGGGCAGAATTTGCTGAGGTAGGGAGGTGCTGGGCTGTGTTTATTGTGATGGATGAGAAGGATGCCAGAAAGCATATCCGAGAGGCCAGCATCTCAGAATTCTCCTCCTTTACTTTTAGTTAAATAGGCCACTTACCCCCTCACCTAGGTCAGCTGTCTTTTATGGTCTAGGTCCTTTTTTGCAATCCTGTCCAGATGGTTACATATGAATACAAGTTTTTTTTTTTTTTTTTTTTTTTTTTTGAGACAGAGTCTCCACTTTGTTGCCCAGGCTAGAGTGAGTGCCGTGGCGTCAGCCTAGCTCACAGCACTCAAACTCCTGGGCTGAGTGATCCTTCTGCCTCAGCTCCGGGTAGCTGGGACTACAGCATGCGCCACCATGCCCGGCTATTTTTTATATATATATCAGTTGCAATTATTCCTTTTATTTATAGTAGAACAGGGTTCGCTCAGGCTGGTTTTTGAACTCCTGACTTGAGCAATCCGCCCGCTCGGCTCCAAGAGCTAGGATTACAGGCGTGAGCCACAGCGCCCGGCCGTAATACAAGTTGATAACCATTTTGAGACTCTCTGTAAAAGGGATGGATGGTAAGGCCAATATGAATAGATTTTTCCAATGAAGGCTCCTTTGATTTCAAAGCACAGAGGCTCAGGCAATCAAGTTACCTTTGAAAAAGGAGAACTATTGAAAAAATACAGGTTGCCCGGGCCTCATAAAAAACTGACCAGCCAGGCTGGCAGTTGGAGGCAGCTTAAATCTGGCTATTTATCATCTCAGTCATGATCATGATTTCTGTGGTTCTTCTTTTGTGCATCTCATATCTACTCTAGCCCTTTTTTCTCCCAGCAGCTTCCTGCGCATACTCATTGTCCACATGCACGGTGGTCAAAGCAATGGCCTTGGGTCAGGTCCCCTGGGCTTGAATCTCAGCTTCTTTTACTCACTCAGTACTCTTTAGCCAGTTACTTAACCTCTCAAGTCTCAGTTTCCCAATCTCTTTCCTCTCCGCTATCCCTCTCTCTCACTCCTCCCTCTTCTCTCTCTCCTCTCTTTCTTTTCTTTTCTCTCTTCTGACTCTGTTGCCCAGGCTAGAGTGCCGTGGTATCATCGTAACTCACAGTGACCTCAAACTCCTGGGCTCAAGTGATCCTCCTGCCTCAGGCTCCTGAGTAGCTGGGACTACAGGCGTGCACCACCACACCTGGCTAATTTTTTCTCTTTTTAGTAGAAACAGGGTCTCACTCTTGCTCAGGCTGGTCTCAAACTCCTGAGTTCAAGCAGTCCTCCTGCTTTGGCCTCCCAGAGTGCTAAGATTACAGGCATGAACCACCGCTCCCGGCTGAGTTTCCCAATCTTAAAATGGGAATGATCATAGTGTATACCTGGCCAACTTTAGGAAATTATGTAACTACTCTGAGCCATTTCTCACATCTGAAAATGGTGATAATAATAGGTAGTTCCATCTTAAGGTTCTTATGAAGATTAAAAGAGATAGTAACAATAAAGCACTCAGATTAAAGCCTAGCACATAGTAAATGCTTGATAAATGTCAGCTGTATCATCATTGTGTTATTGTTGTTTGTTTTATTGTTAAATGAGACAGTGAATGAAATGCCAAGCAGTAAATGTGCAATAAGTGAGAACAGTGATCGTTATTACTTGGTCCATAATGTCGTGGCACACTGGCGTTTCTTTTGCTTCTTATTTCAAATATTCTGAGAAAATGATCTGCTAGTCTCAGCTCATCCTTGTTGGAAGGAACTTTTCGTTCAGGCTATCTCCTAGGGCATTAATTAGCCTTGAGGTTTGGTGGGGGATGGATTAGAATACTCACCACTATGCATGGCAGATGGGACGTAGAAGGTCACAGAACACAATACCAGCAGCCCAGGCTGCCCATTAGTAGGGCCTGTGGGTGAAACTGTCTCCCTTAGAAAGGAGTAGGGCTGTGACAGACGCTTCATCGTTCAATAGCGTGCCTGCACTGGCCTCCACCGCAAATGCAGGTTCTACGTAGATGCTTTCTTTGCTTTGCTTCTTACATGTTCTTGTTCCTTTCAGTCTCCGTGGTTTCAAAGAGTAAAATAGAAACTAAAGCCATTCGTAAAAGAGACTATCTGTTACCGCCACTGGTAATGTTAGCTGTTACAGCATTTATTTAAATGGTTTATATTGATATTCAGTGTTATTTCCTAGCATGTTACCATGATATCAATATGTCTTCTCTTGCTGCACCTATGTAGTGCCCTGTTGGAAATTTTTGAATTAGGAATTTGAGATTTCTATATTATGAGTAAATTTTCAGGTGTTGACCTTTAAAGTTTACACTTTAAAAGAAGGGATCGGGGTTTGAGATACCAGTCTAAAAAAGAAAAAGAAGGTGTGTTAGAAAAGAGCTGATGATTTTCAGTTGAGGTATTTAGAATGCTAGAATTAGAATTCAGTAGTTTAGGGCACAGTTCTTTCCCAAGTTATTATAAATACTATCATTCACCAGTATTTTAATTTTACTTTAATATAGCTGAAGAAATTAAAAAGCTACGGAAAACAACTGGAAGAATCCAAAAGAAAATGGCCGAATATATGAATTACTGAAAGCAAATGAACATATGCTTATATGATGACCCTACAATCCATTGGAAAGGAAATCTTAAAAACTCAAAGGTCTCTGTTGTTATTCCTAGTGACCAGGTTCAGAAAAATATCATTGTTTATTCCAATGGGAGTCAGCCTGTGGAAACAGCCAGGGAACAGCTTTAAGGATAACCTTTAATGTTGGTCATAATTTACAAAAGCAAACTGCCAACGTTGTGCCAGTACAGAGGACTTGCAATCTTGTGACTCCTGGTGTCTATTTCTGGAGTTTACCCCTCCTGAAAACAAGCCATGGCATCAGACACGGTTTCTGCATAGCTACAACACCTGTTCCTCTTTGTCTTCCTCTACCATTTCTGTACAAATATTCTTGAGCTTTCCACCTCTGAAGCGAATCGAGTGTGCTTGGTGCCACTGGTAGTCACTGATTGCTGTTCCAGTTGGGCCTGAACCTCATCAACATCGTTCCTTGAACACATGTTAAATGATCAAAATTCTTCTGAAAATAAGAATGGACAAGAGAGCCAAATTATTGAAGAAAAGCCCTTGTGCTACAGCATTCTCCCCAGTCCTCAGCAGCTGCTATAAAGTGCACCATGGAAACACGTCCTGCCTGAACATACAGGACTTCAGAGTGATTTGCAAAACACCTTTGTGTTCAGTCACCACCACAGTCTGCTCCAGCCTCCTAGATCTGCAGGTGATTCCTCTCCAGTGACACTAGCAAGAGTGCAGGCTCAACAAGTACAAACCACAGCAGTGGCACCATCTGCCCCTGGAGTAGGAAGACCACCACTCTTGTAAGCACTCTTTCTGCACACCCTTTGGACAATGGTTGACTCCTTCTTGTTCTTTGCCTTCTTCAAGTGTTAGTGCTTCAGATTATGAAAAATTAATAGCCTTACCCGAATTTCTTCAGCTGGAAACCACACAGACAACATGGACTACTTTGCAACTGGCAGGAAACACTATTCAGCCCTTAAGCCAGACACCATCTTCCACTGTGACTCCAGTATTAAATGAGTCTGGGACTAGCCCACACGAGCAACCACAATAGACATGTGGCTGCAGGCATTAACTTGAGTAATTCCTTTCCAGCAGATGGGCAGCCAGTTGAGCAAGTAGTTGTAACCTTGCCTTCGTGTCATCTCTACCCTATGCAGCCACTAATTGCCCAGCCAATTAAATCTCAGCCCCCAAAAAATATCCTTCCACTGAATTCAACAATGCAAGTGATCTCATATGGCTCAGCCAGTTGGCCCAGCTGTGAATACAGCTCCAGCTAATCAAAACGTTATCATTCTCCAGCACCCAGCACCACCCGTGCCAACAGTGGTGAGGGCAGAGGTTC